TTCCTTTTTTTTTTTTTTTTTTTTTGGCATTTTCCCCTTTGAAGTTAATATTTGGTCCTTCAATCCCACTAGTGTCAACTGTCTTGGTGTCCTAATGTAAGGATGATTTTTGTCCAGTTTCTGGGTCCACAATGACCAGGTAGGCCAGTCACTTGACTTCCAACTGCAGGGCCTGTTGGCTGAGTTATATATTCTTCCTGGGCTGACAAGCCTAGTAATATTGATGTAGGTCAACTCTTAGTTCCTGCTGTTACTTTATCTTCAGGTTATTCCAGGTCACCAAATCTCCCTGTCTATAGTGTTTGTTTCGGCTGAGGCCCTACTGTGTCCCTATTGTGTGCCTGTGTGTCTCATAAGCCTTTTTTATTTTCTCCAAGTTGGGGGAGTCCTTATTGACACACTCCTCATCCTGCCCGATGTTTTCGGTGTGCAGCAAGGGGTCACCCACACTCTTTCCTGACTCACCAAGGTCTCACAGTTAGTTGGAGGGAGCTTTATTACTGGCCCTATTTACCCACTGTAAACTTCTATTTTAGGGGCATACACACCACACAGACTGGAGCCTGCTGAGATCTTCCATTTGGGTGAGGCAGTTACTGATCTCCCTTCAAGCTAGCACAGTTAATCCGCTGTAGTCCAAGGTTCTGGGACAAAGGGTGGGAGCTGAAAATCAACAACAGTATTAGGTCCAGTAGGGAGTGTCCTTGAGAGGCCAGCAGATGTCCTGAGTTCAGGCATCTGCTGGGCACGGGTCACGGTCCCAGGGCAGCGTGGCATTCCTCAGTGAAGGCTGGAGTCGCGCCTATTTCCGGGTTTTGAGTTTCAAAGCTTCCTCTGTGCACTGGGAATCATCTGGCCACTTGGCTTCTGGGGCAGACTGCTGGCAACTGCTTGCCACTTGGAGCTCGCTGGGTGTAGGCCCGTTGGGCTGCAGGAACCCATGTGACCTCTGGTGGTTTCCGACAAAGGGCGTGGTCTTACTGCCTGGGAGCAAAGTTCTAAGGCTTCCCTGTGCACTGGAATTCACCGGCATGCACAGTCAAGGCCCATTAACCACTCTTTTAAGGAAATGAATTCCGTTAGGTTTGTCTCCATCGTGAATGTCTTAATGTCTTTCTTTCCCTCTATTCCAGAAGAATATGTCTGCCAGACAGAGATTCGACACTTCTTTCCTCTCAGAACTTGAACAGTGCACTGCATTCTTCTGGCCTCATGGGTTCAGGTGAGAAAACCACCCTCCTCCCAATTCCTATATGTGATGGTTTGGATCCAAAACGACCCCCAGAATAAGTATATGAAAAAAGGCTTAGCACTGTTGGGTCACTTGAGAGATGCAAATTAAAACAGCACTGAGATTCCATCTCACTCCAGAAAGAATGGCTGTTACCAAGAAAACAACCAATAACAAATGCCTCCAGGGCTGTGAGGAAAAAAACGAACCCTTCTCCACCTTCGGTGGGAATGTAGACTGGTGCAGCCACTGTGGGAATCAGCATGGAAATTCCTCAGAAAACCAAAACTGAAGGTTCCATTCAACCCCGCTTTTTCTCTTCTGAGTATTTTCCCAAAACAATTAAAAGCATCATGCTACAGTGATATATATGTATCCGTGTTTATAATTTGTAATTGCTAATCTTGACAATGACCCGAATGCCCATCAATCAATGAATGGATAAAGAACTGTGGGTTTCTTTAACATGATGGAGTACTACCCTGACATAAAGAAGCATAAGCTTGGACAGTTATAGCTAAATGGATGTATCTCGAGAACTTACTTTTCAGGGACATAACCCAGACAGACATGTTTAAATATTGCACTGTTTCTCTGGTGTGAGAAAATGAAAGAGTAAATAAGGACAAAAATGTACAATACATATTGGGAAACAGAAAATATTCAAATGGGAACGTGAACAAGGGAGGGAGGAGGAGGAGAAGATGGAAGGGAAGAGAAAAAAGAGAATAAAAGGAAATAAATGGAAGCAAAGCAAAAGAGGGGAAGAGATGCTGAATGGAGGGGAGGGGATTGGGGGAGAAGAGATGACTCAAGCTATACTATGTTCAGGTACAAAGTCGCAATGAATGGGATAATTGTGTATATCTAAACTGTACCAATAAAATTAATTCTTAAAACTAGCAAGATAAAATGCCCCCCCAAACCTCAAGTGTTTGGAAGGCGATTGGGTTATAGGTGTGTTAGACCTGACTTGTCTCTAGGTGACAGGGGCTGCTTGAAACAGTGGGTCACCAGAGGCGTGACCTGCAAGGGTCCATCTCTCTCCCTCCTCCAGTCTCTGCTTCCTGACCTCCATGATGTGAGCTGCACTCCGCTGCCAAGACCCTTCTGCCCGCTGTCTCTGTCTGGAGTCAGCTGACCACAGACTGAAAACTGTGAGCCAAAATAAACCCCTCCCATGTAGACTGTGGGTGTCAGGGGTTTTTCCTCCCAGCGAGACATGACTAAGACACAAACCCCTCTTCACTCTGGATGCTTTAAAGATTCCTCCTCTGTCTTTAAATTTCAGAACTTAACTATGATGTCACTTTTTTGGGTTTATCATCTTTTAACATCTCACCAGCTTTCTGAATCTGTAAGCTTATATCTTTTGCCAAATTTGGGGTGCTTTAGCTATTATTTCTTCAAATACTCCTCCACCTTTACACACTTTCTCCTGTTCTCAGATTGTAGTTATAGGTATCTTAGGTTTTTAGCATTGTCCCCAAAGTCCCTGATCCTCCATTTTTCCCTGCTCTATTTTCTATTATTCATATTGGGTAAATTCTACTATCTGCCCCCAACTTCACTGTTTTTCTCGTGTCACCCCACTGTGCACCTCGTCCATGCACTGGGGGCTTTTCCAACTGTGTGTCTCCTCCATGCACTGGGGGTTTCCCGCTGCCGTACTTTTTAGCTCACCCTTCCCATCCTGTTCTCTTTTGTAAGTTGTATTTCCTTGCTAAGGAACTTTTTCACTGACTCCCAGCTGTGTATAATTGCTGACTGAAAGCTTTTTGTTTTCCTGGTGATTATCAGTTCTGTCCTCCACATCTTAGATATAAGACAGAAATCACTGGGTCCCACCAAAATAATTTTCATTACATGTCCTGGTCCACTTTTGTGGGCTGTAGCTCTACAGAGCATTTGGGCTCAGAGCCAGGTAGGACTGGTCAGCTTCACTTCTCTGACACACACACACACACACACACACACACACACACACTCCATCCTCAGTGCTTTTTTGCCCAAAGGATTTCGAGGACCTCTCTCCATGGGGTGGAAGATGGCAGATGTCTGCGTGTCACTGCTGCCCGACCCTGGGCCTGCTTACCCACTCTCAGCGAGCTCTGAGAGCTCCATGCTTGGCCTCTGTGGCACAGCCCATGCTGCCAGCACTGAGCCTCAGCTTCTCCACATCAAGGGATGCTGACAATTCCAACGCATGCGTGTCCTTGTTCCTTTTTGCGTGTCCGTCCCTCCACTTACCTCTCCTCTTGCACTTCACTGTCAGCAGCAAGAGGAATCCACGGCAGCCTGGAAACCTCCAGGGCACAGGGGACCACACTTGCTTTCCGCACCAGGGCAGGACACTTTGGCTAAGCCTGCTTCGGCTTCCTAACAAGGATACACACGCCTGGATTCCTGCTGAACCCTCCCTGGGGGATCCCATCTTTTCACGGTGGTTTCCGTGTTGTGTAAGGTGATGGAGGAGGATTTCTCTCAGTGCTCCTGAGGATGCCATGTGTGGGGCGATTCCCCACCCATTTCTGCGAATGGTCTGCTCCTGGCAAATGGGCCTTTCCCATCACCTTCCTCAACAGGTCTCCCACATCCGCCCAAGGCCTGACTCTCCTAGGACACAGCGCACTCATGCTGGGAGTGGGATGTCACAGCTGCACACCACCTCGAGGTATCGGTCTCTATGTCACTTTTTCTACAGAGGTAAAACCGATTTCCCAGTTGAAGATGACACCCAGGTATCTGCTGACACTCCTATGTCCAGGCAGTCTCAACCCAGTTCCTGCCCAGGACACAAGGCCAAGGATGAGGCGGCAGGTGCCTCTACAGGAGCAGTGGGGTCACAGCAGGTTATTTGGATCCCACAACCAAAGGACTGAGGGCTCTGTGTCCCAGCTGGTGGTCTCACAGAGGCTGATCCCAGCTCCTAAAGCTGTCACCTGCTTTCTTTTGCATGTGGCTCAACCCACTATCGAAGCCAGCACCAACCTAGTGGTTCTCAACCTCAAATTCAGCTTCCCCAGACGCTGCCTGTGAGAGGGACTGGTCTACTTTGGAAGAGTCTGTCTGGTGTGGCTGGTCTGCCCAGATCATGTCCGTAGTTCAGGACCCACCAGCCAGCAGTGCTTAGGACTGCAAAGGCCCCTCAGGTCACCTCCAGGCTGGTGTGTGATTGGCTAAGCAGGAGATGGGACTCTCGGGCTGGTTGGGAATTCTGTCTACTGCAGTGTGCATCCTGTCCCTGAGTCACTGGGACAAACTCTCAGTCACAGCACTGTCTCAAATCTGTAGATGAGGCAACCGAGGAGTAGGTGGGTTAAGTGACAAAGTCACACAACGAACGGGAAGACGAAGGCTGAGCCAGGCAGCTGCACCCCAGCGCTCCCTGCCTCAGCTCTGGAATTTATCGGAGCTCAGCACTAACGGGCAGGCAACGAGAAGAAGCCACACGGGGATGGACGATGGCAGACGGGGAGGAAGCAGCTCTACCCCAGATGCCGGGTCTTGTGCTCAGCGCTTCTTGCATTACTGCATCCTCTCTTGCATCCTCGGGACCCCTCTAGGAGGATTCTGTGTCCCTATCTCGTGGGGACTTTCCCCACTCTCATCCCCTCACAGCAGTGAGCTAACACATGCCCGGGGCAACCACGGGAGCCCCAACCACAGAGCCTTGTGAGCCACTGGGGCACAGCTCCATGGACCAATGTGACTCCTGCAGAGCCCGGGCCCCACAGCCTCAGCTGCACGGCCGCTGCCTGCTCCTCACCTTCTGTTGGCGGCCACGGGGATCCTCCAGCCCTTGATCTGACTCAGCTCCGTGTCCGAGATTTCGATCTGCAGGGGCAGCCGGGGCACCCACACGGTGACCTCCACCTGGGAGGTGAAGTGCTGGTGCGTGAAGTTCACGATGGTGCCCACTCTGCTCTTCATCTCCTTCCCATTCACAAAAATGGAGTCGCAGCTGTCAGAGACCTGCGGGGTGGGGGACAGACAGAGAGCCCTGAGGTGCAGCCGCAGCTCCGGACCCCGCGGCACTGACGGATTGGACACCCGGGCAGCTCTGGGTGCACAATGGAGCGTACAAGAGGCAATTTGTTGCTACTAATTAGTGCCAGACACTGATAAACAGACTCCAGGAAAATTTTGTGCTGCAAATTGCTGACAGGTAAAAACATAAACAGGATCTAACGGAGTTACACAACCTCTGCTGCTGTTCGCAAGCACTTTTTATTCTTTATTGTTTTTTCCGTACTGAAACTACCACCAATCAAACCCAGGTGTGTTATTTCACTCTTTCACCATGTTTAAGACCCCTAAGAGGTTCCTGTGGTACTAAAAATAACAGTTTATTCGACCCATAAAGAAAATCTTCTGGGGGAAAAATAATCAAGAGAGCTTTGTCCTAAATGGAAACTCTGGTGGGTAAAACACTCCTGAAACGCACTGGAAAGTTATGTGCAGGTGTTTCTGCCCTGCTCAATCCTAATTCCATAGAATGCAGATGAGGAAGCCACCTGGCACTGCCGTCCTTCGACTCAGCCCCTGGAGGCCCCACCTTTAATTCATCTGTTCACAGATCGAGGGCTCAACAATTTGAGCCCCAATTTCACACCACATCCTCTGGATTAATGAAGAAATGGGTGCTGACTTTCCCTCCTGGACCACTGGGGAAGGGGGCTTTGCTGTGTGAGAGCAGGGCATGGAGGGAGGCAGGACCGACACAGGTGCGGAAGACACAAAATAAACTATCGACCCTCAGCAGAAGCCCTCGGCTCTGCAGGCTTAGCACCTCGTGACACAGATGAAGAAACTGAGGCCAGGGCACGGGACAGCCCTGTGACTCGCTCCTGCCCAGGAAACAGGACCCCACGTCAGGAGACACACAGGCTGCAGGGTCACAGGATGAGCACGCACACAGTCCGCAGGAAGCATCAGGGTTCTGCACTAAAAGAGGCGCAAAGTAAAACCCAATTCACCGTCACCCTAACTGAGCACCCGCGTGTGCTGCCCGCCTAGCAAAGGGCACCGTGCCAGCGCACAATAAATCTCACGCAGTTTTCATTTTACCTTGGCGTTTATCAAATTCCATCAAAGAAATAATAATAGCTCTCAGGCATTCGAGGATGATAGACGCTGTGCTGCTTTTTAAATTTACAGGGAATCCTAGTTATTCAGCCCCAACAACAACCCCACCACTAGGCGTTTAGTCTGTGGGTTAAGAATGGGGAAACTGCGGCCCACTGGAGACTGCTTGTCCCGGGATGACCACAGGTGAAGGCAGGTGTGGACTGGCATTCGGGCCCACAGAACTATGTCACTGCCTGGGAGTGTCCCTTGCACGGAAGATCCGGTCCTACCTCTAGCAGACCCAAGGATGCCCGAAGGACTCCATGCACACGTGGGGACCTTGGGTGGCTCTACTGAGGGCTACCCCATAACAAACACATCATCCAAGTAATGCACCAGTTTTAACATGTGTACATACATGAAGCCACCGCACATTCAGAGAAAGAACATTCCTGTTGCTGCAAAAGATGTTTCTGCCTCTTTCACACATCAGTCCTGGCGCCCTGGAGCCAGGCAACCTCTGGCAGGCTTCCTGCACCGGACAGCCACCTGCCCCAGCTGTAACGGTATCGAGATGGACTCATAATGTGCACTCTTCGTGCCCAGCTTCTTTAACCTGAAATTCACCTCTGCTGTTGCCTAGCTCCAGCCCCTGGCTCTTTCCTGTCTCCCCCCAGCAGAATGAGGCAGGAGTTTCACCAGCAGTTTAATCTGACTTCTTACTACTGTAAACTTAGCTGTCCTCAGGCCGAAGGCCACCAGGACAGGAAAATAACCTTCACTGGTCATTTCCTCAAGTCTGATTGCTGGCTTTGTTCACTGTTTCTAATCATTTGTACTGAGTTCATAGTAATAACCCAGGAGGCACTATTTATTCTTGGAGTTTATTCCTCCGTGACAAAATAGAAAACATGCGATCATACTTCCATGGAAGCTCTGCATGCTTTGAAGTCACCCAAAGAGAGGCACAGAAGCTCGGCAGCCCGAACTGAGACCCACAGACTCGAGTGTCCATCTCGCTTCTTCCCTTTGCTGCCCGGAGTGAGTTGCTGCCCCGTCTCCGGGCTCAGACGCTACGCTGGAACCCGAAGATGCCAGACTTGCCAGCTCCGAGGTTCACCACTCCATCATCTGGAGAATTTAGAAACCGAGCCCGCAGCCCCAGGGTATTTTGTCACAGCTTAGTCTTCCTGTGGCCTGAGTCCTTCATCTGTAGAATAAGAATTAAGTGTTTTGATATGCAAGAAATACTTATTTAATGGCGACAGAGACTCAGGAACAATCCTAGGTGCTGGGGATTGAGCGGGAAGGACAGCAGCGCCTGTCCGGAGCTGACGGTCCGGTGGGGGAAAGGAGGGGAGGCGAAGGACCGTGCACACCGTGTGACCGTGCAGTTAGACAAGCTTGAGGGGAAACAAAAGCAAGGAAGCTAAAGGCAGCGGCAGAAGAAGCCGAAACTCATAAAGATAGCAGAGGATGTCACCAACACCGTCCACCAGCGTGACCTAGGGGACAGTCACAGGAATACAGTATCTCAGTCTATGCAAGTGCCCAGGGGACGGTCTCCAAGGTGGACTTGATTTTAGATCCCACAGCAGAGTATGGTTCGTGAAAGCGGAAAAATAGCCCACATCAAGATTAAAGTTTCCAAAAAAAAAAAAAGATTAAAGTCTCCGTCACTGTAATCCGAGTTCCCCGTAGCTGACATCTTGTCTTCCTGGCTGCCTGAGTTTGAGGATCACGCGCCCAGGTGTCTGTTGTTTTGTGTTTATCCTCTTGGCTGCCCTATGACCTGCTTTGATCTATGGTCTGGCATCTGTTAGTAATTCTGGAAAAATCTTGCCTATGTCTTCCTCCAACCCTGCTCTCTCATTCTCTCTTGGAATTCTGGTTACAAGTGCCTTAGATCATTCAGGGTCAGTTCCTGGATACTGGGTTTTGCTTTTGCATTTATTTCTTTGGCCGTGTGGAAAGGGCACTGACTAGTCTACTGGTCAGTCCATCAGTACACCAAGATCTTGGTTCTGCGCACCTATGTATGCAGCATTCCTATTTCTCTCATTCTTACAGCTATCACCTCTGATGAAATTACCCGTCCACCCCTGTGTGGTGTCTACCATTTCCATTATAGATGTCACATAATTACCTTACAGTCCCTGTCTAACAGGTCCAATGGCTGCGTCTCACCTACTCCGAGTCTGGCTATTCGCACTTTTCCTCTTTGAGAGTTTGTCTTGACCCCACGGGCTTTTTATTTATTTAACGGTGGACATACAGTATGTGTGCCCTGAGACACCGCGATGAAACCTTTTTAAGGTTAGAGGTGCGCGTGTGTCCTTTGAGGGCGTCAGCGCCAGGCTGCCAGTCAATCTGCTCCTGTGCGGCTGGGGTGCAGGTTGGCTGGCCTTCTCCTCACCCTCTCTTCCCTCCTGTTTCCAAGCCCTCTAGCGGTCCCTTGCATTCAGAGTGTGAGCTGCTTCCCAGGGGCAATGTTCTCCTGTTTTCTCCTCCTCGGCTTTGGTCGCCTCCATTGCACTCCAGAGAGAATCCCTGTCTCGCATCTCTCTGTTCTCGTCACTGTTTATGTTTTCTCCCTGATGTTCCTTAACTCAGTGGAGGCCGTGTCACCAGGCAGGGTCCGAGCAGGACCTCATGGTCAGAGGGTAAACCTGAGCACCTGGGGCTTGAGGAGCCCAAGTGAGTGGAGATGACAAACTGACAGTGCGGTGGCCAAGAGGCAGGACAGCAAGGTTTACCCAGTGCACAGGAGAAGCCCACGGCTCGCAGCTCCTTCAGTCCACACAAACAATGCACCCAGCACAGAGACGGCTGCTGGCTCAGGGGCCCATGGGGGCGCTAGGCAGGTTCCCTCCAGCAGAGCTCGGCTGCCCACCGCTGCTGGGCCATGGTGAGGCTTTTTCTCCATTCAGCAAGGCTGGACTCTACTTTTAGAGGGAGTGTAAGAAACCAAGGGCCTGACACGGTGGAGAGAGGTTGAAGCAGACAGGAACACGAAGCTCCCGGCCCCTGTTCCCGGAGGACCCGGCAGAGGCCCTGGCTCAGCACTGCCCAGACGGGGCTGGCGCCCACACTCACCCTGACAGCCAAGTGTGCCAGGGAGAGCCCAGAAGCCAGAACCCAGCAGGGCAGCTTGATCCGCAGGCAGGGCTGGCTACCCAAGCAGTTTCAGAGGCACCACTGCCAAGCCCAGCCCTCCACAGACTTCGAGTCCTTTCTAGCAAGTGCCAGTTGGGATCCGACCATCAGGCTGCCAGCTCCTGGCAGCCTGAGAAGGAGCCCTCATGGAGAAATTACAGTGGACCTCACTTTCATTGACTGCACTTTGGGAAAACCTTTACAATGGCAGTAATTAGCATAACTGCATCTAATATATCATCCTAATATATTTTATGTACAACCTACATTACCTTACCTCATATTTAACGCAGCTGATTTTTCTTACTTTTCTTATAGTACTGAGGGTTGACTAGGGCCTCTGCACCCAGCCATGTCCCCATCCCTTTTTATTTTTTATTTCCAGACAGCAGCTCTGTAGGTTGCCCAGGGTGGGCTGGAACATGAAGCCCTCCTGCCTCAGCCTATCAGACTGCAGGGATTACAGGTGGGCACCACCACACCAAACTGACCTGACTTAAATAAGTTTATCATGTTGTATGAAAGGAGAGAAGGTTAGCACTCCCCTTGACAAAGATAGAAGAGGCCCTTGGGACTAACAACACACATGCGGTTAAGGCATTGCCACCTACTTCGTGGCATCTAACCACTGATTTTCAGGATACAGCACAGCAATCATCTTTAATTTCCTATTAACCTAATTGGGAGCCCTATATGACTTATTCTTTTTTATCATGACTGATCTTAGTTAAATCTGGTTTATTTGGTTG